GTGAGTAAATAACAGTGTGTTATTTTGAAAAGAATAACAAATTAGAAGGAAAAAAAGATTTACAAATATACAGATTTCAGTATTCTGAGGCTCTCCGCCCCATTTATTTTCCTCACAGACGGCAACAAAAGTCCGAAATTATACGATTTAAAATAAAAAGACAATAATTAGTGGCTTGATATTGAGTAAGAACATACTTTTATGAACCACACAGCTTCCGGTCTTCCTATAACACGTAATGTCGTGAGGCTACCAATAGAAATACATTGCTTTTAAAATCGTGCTGTGCAACACGAAAAAAAGGGGAAAATCGTGTTGGTGAACACGAATCAATAGATTAAAAATCGTGTTGGTGAACACGAAATGCCGTGAGACTGGGTTGACAGTAACCATACATTGTGAAAGTAAAAGACTAAATAACTACACAACATTTATAGCCTAGCCTATTGTATAATATAGTATAACATCACTTACCAACAGGGGATAAGCCCTGAACCATGAAAATAACTTAATTTATCTGTTAGTTTTTCTTTTTCTTGAAGCAGCCATTTTGTAAAGCTTGTAAAATGGTCTAAGTCACAAGACAATGTGACTTAAGCCATTATCTTTTTTAAATATATGGCCTAAGTCACACTCTTGACATAGGCCATTATACTATCAGGGTAGGGACAGCACTAACCTTTCAATAAGGATGTAGGCAATTTTACCAGAGGTGGCCAGCATCAAGAAGAGATGATTTAGGCAAAAAAAACATTTTCTCCAAAATATGATTTAGGCCATTAGTTTAAGAAGGTGACGATATGTGTTTTTGACTTGTCCCCCCTGTGCTTGATTTTGTTCACAGAACTAACCTTCACGTGGATCTTCAATGAGTACCCATCATTTGTCATCCAGGACACGCGGCGGTTTGTGTCCCAGAAGACAGGAAACCTCTACATCGCCAAAGTGGAGCTCTCTGATGTGGGCAACTACACCTGTGTGGTCACCAACACGGTCACCAAGAGCAGTGTTCAAGGACCACTAACTCCTCTGGTGCTGCGGGTTGATGGTAAGACAGTTCTGCCCTACTCACAGTAATACACATAAAGTACAACGAAGGGGAAGAGTGAAGATTTGTATTTTTTCAAAATGCACGACTTACAAGCTGATAGCTAACTTCTGCCATCAAATAAATACAAACATAGCTCATTCATGTTGGTGATTTGGTTCGATTAACATTATGCTCTTTTGAAGTTCAAATATTCACAATACTCATTCTCTGACAAAGACTGTTATACAATAAAAACAGTACAGAGAGTTATGACATTTGAAAGGATAGAAAGTGAACTGTATTGTTCTATTCTCTTGGTTAAAAAATCCAGGCGATCACATCAGAGACTTGAAGTTGTTTTTTATTTGGCTCACTGGTTTGGAAAAGTGATCCCAGAGAGGACTTGTGTAAACCTAACCAGGCAACAGCATAATTTCATCATGTTGAACCAAGATGGGGTTGTAATTATATTTAGTGATGTTTTATAAAACGACTCATTTATAATAATTGAGAGTATTTGAAGACACATTGTCTATTGAGAATGTGTCTTCAAATACTCTCAATTATTATATGTATTATATTTATATGTATGTATATATATGTATGTATTATATATATATATCAATTATTATATATAAAAATGTGTCTATAGACACATTTTTGCCCAAGCCATTGGACAGAGTAAAGTGTCTTCAAAGTTCAACTAAATACTTCTTCTGTATATCTGAGTTGACATAGTCATGACATGACTTTGTTTTGATTTAGTTTCTTTGTGACCTTTTCAAGGCTTGATGTGAAAGAATTCCCTTCAGACACACATGGGATCATTTCTGTATTTCTCTTTGTGTCTGCAGGTATGATGGGCGAATACGAGCCAAAGATTGAAGTGCAGTTTCCTGAAGTTGTCCTTGTTGCTAAAAGCTCAACCGTCAAACTAGAGTGTTTTGCACTTGGAAAGTACGTCCTACTGCTTGTTATTATTCCCCAGTAATAATCTCACAGTCTGTTAGTTGTTTACCGTACAAATCTAAGCTGCATGGTAATTTGTGAAGACCCTGTGAAGTGATTTGGAGACTAAAATATTTCACTTTTAATGACTCTTACTTAGGCTCTAAACCCAAAATACTGAGAATATACACTCACCAGTTAGTGTTTCAGATCAATTAAACATTGGCATGCTTTTTTGGTTTTTTTCTGTATTCACTGATATCAAATGATTTGCCTTAGCTAAATCTCTGGATACTGAAAGATTATCTTCAAGAGTATTTTTCATTTTGTGACCTGGTTGTTTGTTTTATTTTCATGCCTTTAGCCCAGTGCCAACCATCAGCTGGAGAAGGCAGGATGGAGCCTCTTTTGGCAGGAAGGTGGACATAAATAAAGCCAGTGGCGTGTTAGAAATCCCTTACTTCCAGCTGGAGGATGCAGGAATATATGAATGTGTGGCTGAAAACACCAGAGGAAGAAACTCAGCTAAAGGAAAGCTGTCTTTCTATGGTGAGTAGGAGGATGGTTTCGCTGACTTTGATCTAAAACTGGTCTTACTTCACCTGTCTTGTCTCGGGACCAAATAATATCTTGCGCATATCTTCCTGTCTGTCAGGACCTCGACACAAACTGATGGACCCAAATGCACGACCCAGAGACAAAGTCTTAAATGTAAAAAAAGTATCTTTAATTTCAAAGATCATGAAATTCCTTTTAACAGAGTAGGTACTGAAATTAACAAAAAAACACTCACAAGGAAGAAAAACTATGCATAACAAAAAGAGAACTTAAGAAAGAAACTCAAGCCTACACAATTATCAAAACAACAAAACCTGACATGAGTGAAAGCGATCTTTTCTTAGCTGAGGCTTGGCACGACCATTCGGGGAAACAAACAATACGAACTGACACAGGACAGGGGAGAGACAGGACTATCTAAACATGAGGTGAGTGGGAACAGGTGGAAACAATCAGGGGCGGGGCAGACACTGATGATGGCGGGAAAAACACACAAGGGGAGAAAGAAACAGGGCCTGAAATGAAAGACAAGAGGTAAATACAAAATAAAACAGGAAATGGAAAACGAGACATGACAATAAACACAGAGACTGACCAGAGATGAAGGATCTAAATAAACAGACCTGACCAGACGTGAAAAAACATGAAAATGACAGACATAATACATAAACATAATTAACACATCTTCTTCTCAACACATCATCTACATTTATAGACTTGCACTAAATCTTCTACCTATTGATTCACAGCCTCAGAGGTTCAACACAACTGAGCCTGATTGAAAATCTTGCAGAATAAAAGTGTAGCTTTGGTTTGGGTCCAACAAAAAGTTTAATTTGTTGTCATGCAATCTGTAGCTTTTATTATAACCCATATAGAACTGCATCATATAGTGCAATGTGGTAATAAATTAACCTATTACCAGTAGTTCATTTCTGACAAGCTCTTTATTGTGCCAGCGGCTAACACAGGGCCGTAGCGCACACAGATTTATGCCACCTCTCAGGGAGAGGTGATTTTTCCCTCAGCAACACTGGACTTATAGCCCATATTCTGAGAAAGCTTTTAATGGCCCTTGATGAAGGATCTTTATGGCTTCTCTCTCCATTATTTTGCAGTTTATGCATTGATGAGGTCTGCCCACGAGGGCCTGTAGGGATGTGCTTGACTGAAATCATCAAATCCAGATTTTTCTTCCCTGTGTGAAGAAGGGTGCTTTTGATATGATAATACTGAGTTTTTGCAGCACCTGTGGGTATGATGAAATGCTCCCAGTACCTGTAGGTAGGCTGATGATTAAACGTGGTATACTTTAAAGGGGAAGTGCTTTTTCATATAGCAGCAGAGCCTCACAGCTCTGGGCATGGATGTTCTAGACATAAACATTGTAAAATGGCATGATCAAGTTATGGTAATTTTTTAAATACCAAGCTGCATCAGTCTCAGTATGTTGCAAAGCCTCCACACATTACCTCTGCTGTAGTTGTGTGGTAGTAGTCGCGTTTCTCCTTGTAAGATTTAATTCCTGTCTCATCCCAAAGCCTCACAGACTGGCCGGCCGCCAGGTGATAAAAATCTGTAATCTCATTTTAAACTCCAATAGACAAGAGCTTGTGGGACATCCATCAACTCTATAGAAGAATAGGAGAATCAATATGGGGATGTGGTGTTTGCGACACCCAACCAATGCAGGCCCAGGAACAATAAGGGGTGGCCTCTCTTTCAATTTCCCACTTAATTGTCCTTCTGTAGTTCCAGGGGATTTATGAAATTAGATCATGGTTTAGCAGATGACTGCATTTGAATGGGCGCAGACAAAGATTGACTTTGTATGGAAAACACTTGCATCATGTCTTCCCCTCCATTATATGAATCCATCACAGTCCTATTTGTAATATTGCTAACAAGGCGTCACATATTTTCAATTCAATACTGCTTGCTCATTTCTGAATGTATTTATAGTGCATTTTCTTTTCATTAAAAGAACATAAAGAGAGCTTGTTTTAAAGATAACAACTTACTATCTCTGCTCTCATATGGGGCTGCTAAACACTGGCTCTCTGTAAGCTTTTAAAATATTACTTGATTGAAGCCGAGTAGAATGAGCTGAAATGCATGAAAGGCACCGCATGCATCACTGTTTCTGTAGATAGGAAATACAAAGGCAAATAATCAGCAAGGAACACCTTCATTCGCTTCGAAATGCACAGTTGTTGCTTCTAGACATTTGTTCAGTCATCTAATGGTTTAATGATTGTGCCTTTTTAGTTGGTTTCTAAACACCAACTGTTTTGGGCATGTGACAAAAACTTCAACCTTAAAACAAAAAGTAGATCCCCATTTGAGCTCCAAGACAAAGAACAAACTTATACATTTGCACATGACGATGATAATAAATTACTGAAAGGAGTGGCTGTATTTTTCCCCCTGTGGTGGATGAGTATTTGCCCTGCTAAAAAGTCCATGACACTACTGTGAATAATGTTCAAGAATGTCTTTTCTTTGAGAACGATAAGATAAAAGGATATTTAATCAAGAAGAATTGTATTCTTTCATTGTTGTAATTATCAAAGTAACACAGCTTGGCAGGCACACAGACTGCCTTGTTCCCCATGACCCTGGCAGGGCGTCCTGTATTTATGTGTGTGATTCATTGGGGCCATAAATCTTCTTACACTGTCGCCAGAGATAAGGTGCTAGTCATTTTTGTGCCACAGGTCCACAGTCATAAATATAAAGGCATTTCTCTATGGATTTCAGATGTTTCAAAAGAAAAAAAGGGAATATAGCCTTTGTTATAAACTGCATGGCCAAGAAAGAATTACAACCCTTGCTTTTTACTATCAGCATCAAAAGAAATATATTAAAGTCAGTATTCCAAATTCTTGCAAAAAATGTTCCTCAGCTTAACTAATTCATACTGGTTGTAGTAAATCAAACCCTTTTCCTTTTAGCTCTTAACCTTACAATGAAGGGTTCCATCCCACCTATTGATCCGTTTACGTGTGAATCTTATACAGTTGTTTTTATTTATATATTCTTCAAGCGGAGGTGAGCTTTGGGTTAATTGCAAGTGGATTTATGATTCACGCCCTTGGATGCCTCTTTAATGAACTAATTGCCCGCTTGGTTGGTTCATCGATTTATTCTTAAACTGCTGTGTAATAGAAATGCTTAAGAGTTTGTGTAGTGTTGAAGTGTTTATTTACAGTATGTGGTATTTGACCTTACAGCTGCACCGCACTTGACTGAGAAGCCTCAAGATGTTCAGAAGACCATTGATGATATGCTGGTTTGGGAGTGCAAAGCCAGCGCCAAGCCCAAACCCTCATACCGCTGGCTGAAGAACGGAGAGCCTCTGGACTCCATGGAAGTAAGGCATTTTTCTTAATTTAAAGGTCACCTATTATGCAAAATCCACTTTTTCCTGTCTTTTCTACATAAACACGTGTCCCCTCGGCGTTAAGAGATTCTGAAAGTTTCAGGAAAAAAGATTCGCTCTCTTTTTGTCCTGATCCATTTATCCATTCACTTTATGATGTCAGAAAGTTTTTTGGCTTGTGTAACCATTAGCCAATAACCAACCAAGGTAACACCCTACTTTGAATATGCGTCTATATTTTAATTATACCTCAGACCTAAGCGTGGCAAAATAGATATATAAGAACATTATTTATTTGTGCTCTACGACTTAAATCTAAACAACATTTAATGAAGGGGTGTGACATCCTTTCGATAACAAACACATATAAACAGCTAAAGCCAGGCTCACTCTGACAGTCTTGAATTATAAACCGGTATTGTTATCGTGAGGGGAGAGTCAATATATATTTTTTCATTACAGCCCCTAGGGCCTAGGCAATTGAGTCGACAGAGATAAACATAATGTTATGTGTAGGATGAAAGATGATCAGATTACAGTACATTCAGCATCATCTTATTTAAAGGATGCACTGTGTGTCACTGCACTCTTTGCAGGATTCATTCTGCTGAGGAGCTCATAATGGTTTCAACTCACAGACTCGTACTTGGCAAGAACATGCCACTCTGAAATGGCTGTATTTGCTTGTAACTAATTCTGGCATTAAAATGTGTGTGTATGTGTTGGGGGAGGTTGTTTGTATGTGTTTTGCAAAGAAGCCAAAGTGATGCCATTTACTGCCTGTCATCATCAAGGGATTCAACAATTTATTTCTCAATCCTTCCTATCTGCTCTCTCAATTTTATCATTAAGTCTCTTCTCTCCGTGTAGAGTGAAAATGCCTTATCGTCCAAAATACAATTCAAATTTGGGCAATTTGCCTTGTTTTTTTGTTATTATGCTACTGGAGTGAGTGTGCTTTTTGCCAAAAAAGAACGGCTCTAGTGAGTCACAGCCGCGGAGAGCGTCAGTGTTTGGCTTGGGTAATGAGCCCAAAACCAGACTGTTTCTCTGGACATGTCTTAAAGAAGCCAGGTGGGTTTAGTTTTCTGTAACGTTAATTGAGAGCTGTGATAATATTCCTAAACTGGAGCATTTTAATTAAAGAGCTGAATCACAATGAACACGCAGAGAAGAAGATTACACAGCTTCCCATTATGGCACATAGCAGAAGTAGTTATCTACAAATTCTGTATCTTCAGCAAGTCCAATTGTAATCTGCATAAATAGGCTTCATTGTCATGAACATGTCTTCTCTCTGTCATTTGTGGCAGTTCGGTGACACAGGTCACTTCCTCTATTCGCCACACATCCTTAACCACGGAAAACACTTATCACTCCACCTGTGCGTCTCCAGTATTGATTTTTAAATAAAATTATAAGAAAATTCCTTTGGCGGTTGGCCAAGGTAACATATTCTCTGTACATGTGGCTATATTAATGAGGTGGGGTGTTACCATTTTCAAAATGCCACCATCAACAGCGGCAACAGTAAATCAATTTCCAAACCCAAAGGTCAGAGATGTAGAGAAAGAGAGGGAGAAGGAGAGGAAGGCCAAGAGGGCCATTTGTTATTCCTCATTAGAATGGATCAGTCCTCCTCTCCCTCTCTCTCGCTTTATCTCAGCATCTCTGGTGCTCGCTTTCTCTTTCTTACGCTCTCTTTCAAGCTTTACCCTCCCACTTTTCCCTCCAAGGGAATTAAATGGCGCAGAGGAGGGCTGTCACTTCAAAATGTCATCCCGGTGAAACAAGGACCCACTCACGCTTGTGTTTTTCCACTCCGCCACCAACTCCCCTTACATACACGAGTGTGTGTGTTTGAGATTTGTCTACCTTTCGACCTCTAAAGTCAGGGAGCTGCCTTCTCAGGAGAAGCTGTTTGTGTAGCTTGCATTCAGTGCAGCTACTGCAATCAGGAAAGGGATCGGTACCTCACTGGCATCAAACAAAGCGCCCAGGTTTTGCCTTTTCACAGCTCAAGTGGAAACAGTGCTGGTATCAGAGTAGAGTCAAGCATAATTAATGATAAGCATGAAGCAGACGAATGCTGCAATTTGTCTCCAGTGAAAGAGCCACCACTGAGTCTCTCAGGGTCTTTTAACAGGGCACTGGGTACAGAACAGCACAGTGTGGCACCAATCCATGCACTTACACAGATCTCTTTCATCTCTTTCTCCCCCTGGGCCCTTGCACTGTGTAACCTAAAAAGGACCATCTATCATCCATTCGCCATGTCTCTCTCTCTCTTTCTCTCTCTTTCTTTCACTCTCTTTCATCCCTTGCATATAAGCACCCAGTCTCAGCCAAAAACCTGGGGACTTATTTTAGTCCCACTTGGAAACGGCTGCATCCATCCTCACCCAGGACCCCCTCTGGTGGTGGATTTAGCGCCAGGTCAGCCGTGTGTCCATCGTGAGACTTGGCCTCAGAGAGAGCCCTTTTTGTATGTCCTCAGCAGTGTCCCTGACTGATGCTAAGGGACAGTCCTTGTCTTTTCAAGTGGCAGTGCTGTAATGATTGCAGACGACAGACAGAATGGCGGCAGGACCCTCTGGACTACTTTGTCAGTGACATTAAAAGGTCTGGCTACACTCAATAGGAAAGATCAAGGGCAGGAACAATGAGTGCTGCCACACTCAAATTGACACAACTATAAAAAAGGGAGCAGAATGAAGTGCAAATCCTTGTAAAGGTCAAAAGAGAAAACGGAAGAGAGGAACTTTCTGGTGCTGTAATTACTCTCTGTACTCGATGTGTAGGCGTTTTATATTTTTAAACAAACACTATCATTTTTTTCACTCGGCCACCTTACATTCTATGAGACTTAGTAGAGTATTAAATAGACGACGTGCTTCAGCCTCATCCTAACTAATTCCTCCGTGGTTTGATTCTAACCATCGTTTGATAATGTCTTAGTGCTATGTTAAGCAGAGGGGGGTTACATCTAGTCACTGCGGGCCTATTAAGACCACAGAAAATTAGCAGTGTTTCAATTATCAACCCCCCTGAGGAGAAAAAAACACTGGCTGAAGCTAGATTTAGATCAGGCCATTCTTCAGCATGAACACAGTTTGCATCATGGTACTTAAAATGTCCATATATAACCCTAATTACCCACCTCAAAGCTGTTTTAGTCCAGCATTCCCATATTAACACATACTATATGACACTGTTATGATAAAACAAGTGTTTATAAGCTTTTTATACATTTTTTATTCAAAGAGAAAGACAACAAAATACGATTTATGGAGTTTGAAGATGTGCTATGTTTAATAGTTGTACTTCAAAATACTATCCTGTATTAACCTTGGATGTTAGGTTAGTTTTAATTAAGGAACATCCTCCAAATGCTGCTCTTGACAACTTTTATTGAAAAATAATAAGCTACAGCTATTGAAAATAAGAATTTATTTATTTTATAAAAGAAGTCAACATGTGCGTAACCTCTTTACTTGCTCCGATATTCCTGGAAACATCATAAACGGGTGAAAATTAACACTTACAGCTGGATGTTTAATACAATATAATGAAATGAGAGTTACATCGCAAGGCTTTAGATAGACATATAATTAGAGGGAACTAAAACAGATAATATTTTGTGGAATTGAAATGATCCTGTACTGTATACAAGAAAACTGTGACTCTAGCGTGCTCATACTGTGTTCTGTTTGCATAATGGTATTGTTATATAAACAGGTGTCAGTCCTCTCAGGGATTAATGTCAGATTTGCTAAGGGATGATCCACTGAGGTCTCTGCGAAGGCATTTTAATGGCCCGGATAGCTCATGCGAATTTGTGGCCTGTTACTTTAACCTCTAAAGTGTATGTTCAGAAGCTCTAATAATTTACCCACCTTTTTTTCACAGAATGCCGAAAACTTCTGTCCTTTTGTATTGCTTAATATTAACAATGGATCCAATTACTGCATGTGAAAAATAATCCACTGCTCACTACCGCAACAGCAGGTAGACACGAATAGTGACTAGCCGGAGACCCTTATATATTTTTTAAGGATTTTTTTGGACACCATATATTCATAAATGGTGAACATGGGATCTAGATCTAAAAACTACTCTTAGTTAAAGTGTGTTGCATGTACAAATAGGTGTTTATGAAAATATGTTAGACATAAAACAGGTTCATAATCTTGTGTAGTAACACATCAGGTGTACGATTTTCAACCAAAGAAATGTGCTCCTCTTTCCCGAGGGGCCTAACAAAAATCAATAAATGCAGCTGAGTTTTTTCATTTCAAATGCATTACCTATGGGGTTAAACTAACAAAAGTCCCCGCACATGGGATCTGATTTGATGTAAAGCCTGGGATGTACTGGAGATATTTTTGCACTAGAGGCAACCACTCGCTGACTGTTCACCTTGTCTAAACCTGTTTACTGTTTGTTGTCAGGTTAGCTAAATGTTTGTGTGTGTGTATTTCTCTAGCACGATAGGGTCCAGGCGAATAACGGAGTGCTGACGATCAGCAGCTTGAATCTGGCTGACATCGGCATGTATCAGTGTGTGGCGGAGAACAAGCACGGCCGAATCTTCACCAACGCTGAGCTCCGAGTCGTAGGTAAGGCCAAACACACAAGACTTTGTTGATTTGTCTAAAATGGGGAGTTTTCCTAGATGCTTCATTATAGACACTCAAAAATGGCAAAATTATACATTTGCTAAACCTGCCAAAATAGATACTGTACCAGTCAGCCACGTGGGCTCTATAATTAAAGGTCTAAATTTGAAGACCATATCTCCTCCACCCACAGTCATATTGGCAGAACGTTTGCTAAACGTTCTATTTCTTCCCAGCAACTTTGCTAGTTGTAACACCAAGATTATTTTACAAAAACTTTTTCCCCGGTCTCTTTTTTTGTCAGTCTGCCAAAAAAAGGCTGTAAAGTACAAATGAAAGACAAACTTAACCACCCATTTCTGTTTCATTTGTTTCTGCTTCCTCTGTGTTGAGCAGACTGAGGATGAAGCATTCGTGTCAACAGTTCTTTTGCCAGTAGCTTGCCCAAAAGTGCGCCCTACTGTAGTTCTGCCTTCGTAATTACGTTTATTCAGGGGGAGCAGTTATGTGCACTGAGATGGGATTTACTTAAAATGTATAATGTTTTTGTTATTTTATTTAATAAAATCTCCTGGTTGTTATTTTTCTCAAACGACTATAGTCAGTGGTAAATGTACAATAGATTACTATGCTATATTACTATATGTTACAATAGATTTGATTATCTTGACTGGAGATATGGTTTCTCTAACGTCAGCTGGTCATGTTGACTGCAATGGAAGGTAACCATGCCTGTGTTGTTTTTTCTTGCACTAATTATTTAATTTAACTTTTTCATTGTCACGATTTGCTTTTAAAAAATATAAACATTTTAAATAACATACATTTACTTTACATAAAATGCTTTTGTGGCCACAGTACAGAAAATGACACCAGGAAAAGCCCAACCCCAGTCAAGGTCCTTCAAGTTTCAATGACTTTTGGAAAGGAAATTACATTTATTTTATATGTAGATGCAATGTAACTAGTTAGAGTTATAAAGACCAGAAACAACAGTGTCAGCGAGGATGATGAAAGGAACAAAACTCATATTATGGAAGTTAAACTCTGAAGCTAACACACAGCATGTAGAGTTAAGGTAAAAAGGCAGTTCAACTTTGGAGGTTTTTCAGGCTTAATACATATCAAACATTTAACAGATGGTCGGACAAACAGACAAAGGTAACATAAAGGAGCATATAAATATCTTAGACCAGACCAGACTTGAGTTGTGATTGTGTGTCTCTCAATTTAACTTTTACATGTGGTCAATAATCTCTTAAAAATAAAGTGCAAACATTTCCTTTCAAACCGTTTTTGATTCATTTTATATAACCAGGTGATGGAGAAAAGCCCTTTTGTTTTATATCCTTGTAGAGCACTCACAGCACTTTGCTGAGACAGTTTGACAAGTATTACCTCTCTGTCAAAAACACTTTCTGACACAGCAGCTGTCGATGGTAGTGTTTAGAAACATACATAACTCTGATTGGCAGCTGGACACAAAGTAACTGAATGTATGGAAGCAATGTTGAAACTGTAAAAGAACATTTTGTGGATATGAATATTAAGTATTGATTGCAATACTTGTTGTGATAATTTTTTTGGTGATCGCCTAATCAAGTAAACTGACTGATGAAATAGAATAGTCAAACGACAGACTTCAACTTTGATATATATCTTTAGTACTTCTATACTTCTGTAATTGACATAACAAAAATGTAATCTGTAATCCTTTCATGTCCCACTATTCTGATATCTGGGTATTTTTCTCTTTATCATGCAGGAGTGAGAATATAACTCTAAAACAAGAAATAGTAGATACATGTCTAGCTTTGTCTACATGGTCCACCTACAGACTAAAGGATCAGTTTACAGTTTTCTGTACCTTGTTACCTGTTTTATTTTATCAGGACAAAGGGATTTCATTGCAACTGTATATCCTCCATCTCTTGCTTTAGGATATGAGTTTGTATGAAAGCTGCCCATGTTATGAGAAGAGAAGAGCAACACATATATGTTGTGATCTTATAGGATACACTGTAAATTCACACTTCTGTCAAGAAATAGGCAATGGACGCATAAATACATACATACTGTATATCAGTGTATTGCTGTGGATGCACGTGCACCCTCATGCCCTGGCAGGTGCTGAGCCATGTCGCTGGCGCCAGGCTGTGTTCACTTTGAAGAGCTTTCTGCTGAGTCGCTGCGCATACAAAACAGCTCCAGACGACGGCGCCTTAGTAATTAAGGTCTAAAGGAGCAGCAACAAAGCCTCCCTCTTGTTTTACATTCTCTCGTTTTTGCTTAGGAGCCTCACAGCTTAATTCTTAATGCATAATGTCCTTCTAGGGAAAATTCATGGAATCGAAAAAAAAACACCTTCTTTCAAATGTTCTTATTATGATGCACCATGTCTGTTCTCCTGCAGTTGTGTGTGCCTGTCTGTGTGCGTGTGTGTATATGTGTGTACAAAGAAAAGGATGTGAGAGCTGACCTACCTAATGGATGGAGTGACCTGCATGTTTTTAGAAAGCTCCTCCACTCTCATTTCCTCAATAGCTCTACTCCCTTTGCTCCTATCTCTTCTCCGACAGTGAATTAAACCTCAGCTCTGTTTTCTCTTTCCCTCCTGCCTCTCCGACAATACTTACAGCCCTTCCTTCTCTCTTTTCCTATCAGCCATCGCTCCAGACTTCTCCCAGAACTTGTTGAAGGCCCAGACTTTGGCCCGACAAGGCGGCGACGTTCTGATCGAATGCAGGCCCAGGATGTCTCCTCGGGGTGTCATTTCATGGAGGAAGGGGAAAGAAGCCCTTAGAGAGAGTCACAGGTACCAGTTGTTTTCCTGCAGAGCAGTGAGTGCATTGTGTGCCGGATCCCAATTGTTTAGTTTGTCTGCTTTACTTGCAGAATCGTATTTCATCGACTTGTTATTTATTTTGTCCTATTTTGTATTCATGGTGACAAACTGCAAGGAACATTGTGACACAATACAATTTGAATTGCATAACACGTCCTGCACTTCGCCACTTTTCCCCCTCCTATCTGTATTCCTTCCTTCAACTCCATTGTCCTCTTTTTCTCCCGGCTGTGCTCAGAGCTGGTTTCTGCACTGTTTACTTGAGGTAATTGGCTGTTTCTAGACTGCGGCACTTGGATCGATGCACTGATCCATCAGCTCATTAGCAGCACGTAAGGCCTGAAGGGTCATTAGAGCACGAGGCGGACTATGATCCCGGCTACCATCGAGACAGGGAAGAAGCAGGTGAAATCCCCCAAAAGGACTGATCAATGGCTGGCCGCTGAAGAACATACATACAGTAACTGTGTGATAGTGGCGATGCCATCAGGGGAACTAGCTGGACACCTTGTTTTATTAGAAATCAGGTTAAGTGCAGATCAATACAATACCTCTGTGTACTGGAGAGGAGAAGAAAAGGTACAAACAAATGTTAATCAGGCAAGGAAAAAATAACCCTTCCCCTGAAGATAAAACGCTGGTCGAGGCAGCACTAGGGTTTAAAATGTCAGTGATTGATCAGGGTTCATACAGTTTCTCCTCACATGGCAGCAATCAGGGAGAACGCAGTTATTGTAGCATGCAGCGTCAAACAACATGGCCTTCATTTCATTTTTCATTGCTCGAAGGGAATTCGACGTGTGTTTTCCTTGTTTCACCTGCATAAACAGCCAATTACAGGAAATATACTGGATACTTCTTCGTCTCCATTTTCTGAAATGTCACCTTTTGATGATATTTGCACTGTTATAGTTTTTAGCGGGAAAAATTCAACACAATTAAATTGTAAGCAGTGAGAACACCCTGATGTGCTGGTACACTTTTAATTGTTGCTCTGTTAGGGAGAGATATTATACTTTTTTTGGAAAGTGTAAACTCTCAGGTGTGCATTTCAAAACATCTCATTGTCTAAAACCCAGTGCAGTCGACACAAATAGCTCCACTGATGCATTCATTTCCGCTTTCTGTTTGAGAACATCTTTATTGTGTTCAGGAACATAACAGCAGGAGACAAAGCACACCTGCTGGCACATGTGGTGACGTAGTGGGGGTCCGGACTCCTCATTTGATATGGGATTAATTGTTCAACTGGCTCAGCAGCTTTTCCACACCCAACCTCTGGTATATCCATTCCCACCACAGTGGGAGAGCACCAGGCTTACTCATCTCTCGCCTCCCCCTGTCAGATGCTATGTTTAGGAAACCAAAGTTGCGATCTAATTGTTAGTACAGATGCCAGGCCGAGGCATTTCCGTTAGAGGAGAGATATGTTTTATTTGAGGGGGAGCAGCACAATCAGCAACAAGAGTATGTGTTGCTAAATGTTTGAACAAGCTTGCAGATTTCCTATCCTCTTAAGAATTGGAGGTCAAATGTATCCATACCGCAATATCAATCGCGCCCATAAAGGCGATATTTCCCATTTGAGATTTGACGTTACAGCCTTGCCCTGAAGAGAGTGAGCTGTGTGCAAGATGTTCTGCTTTGACATTATTGCAGCATCTCTCAACAACCTATTCCCCTGGTCCTGGCTCGTTAGCATTTACTTTCCGCCATATCGAAATGAAGCTGCTACCAATGCCATTAAAGCGGCGGCACAACACTAATCCATCCCACTGGCTCAACTAAAATACCCATAATTCCTTCTAATCTTCTAGGGATAATGTTTTTCAAGGATCTGGAGCAGGGGAGAACTAACTACACCAACAAACTAAGAACAAAGCAGGATCTCATTACTTAATGAAATCAAGTTGTAGTGATACCTATATCAGCTCATATCCCAGGTATGTGTAACAAGATATAACGGTTGCTGTGCACTTATGCAGGAAACTATAAGGTTAACTATAAAGGGCTTACCCTAATTCAATTTTACTGCTGACCACTTCCAGCAATTGTAAAAGGGGATATAGGAAATAGCTCTCAGGAATATTACCTTTAGATTGAACCACTGTGTTTAAGATTGTTAGCTAAATGATATGTATTGCTTCATCATGTAATGGGAATGCAATTATAATCCTGCTACTAAAACAGCTTAAGCTTTACCGGATGTGTTGCCAATACAGAAGGTTCATTGCTTTGGAATGAAATAAGCAGTCCTCCAGAATACTGCATGTTCCCGGTAATATACTGAGTTAATTATGCAATCCTTCTTAAGCGGTTAAAATAATGTTTTTCATTTACAGCCTTTTAGTTTTTTGTTGCACCGCGGAGAGGCAGAGCAGGCTTTTAGATTAGAACCAGTAGCTCACTTTAACACCGGCCAATAAGGTTGAGGTAAAGTGCCTGTTTGCTATATCACACTGCTCTAGTTTTATGTACGCCACAGATTTCCCCTATACCTTAATTGCTGCAGGGCAACCTTTAAGAGAAAAGGCGACAGAGTGGAAGCATTTCAGACGGATAATGCACCTTACATCTTTATCATGCTATGTCCCATTGTAGCTTTGGCGAGGAGAAAGCTGGACATAGGCTACTGCACAGTTTAATGGCAAATCTTATCCCTGTGACATCTCATATCCATAACTCTTTGTTATAGTCCATTACAAAGGAAGGCCCTCGGTTCAGTCAGGAGGAAATACCTCCGGCTGCGCGGGGAATGGGCACTGTGGAATAAAGCTAATGTAGTTTAATTCTTCAAGCCTTTAAGGCCAAGCAAGTAGTTTTTGATCATTTTGGGAGGTCCAGGCCGCCTTCAAGGGAGCTTTTAGAAAGGAGCGTTCAAGTTCATCTTTAAAACCTGTTATGTTTGAAACACCGGCTCAACCCTATTACACTGTTGTGCAGTTCAGAAGATAAGATGGGAGCTTATAGTAAGGATTTGCAGGGCAAGTCATTCATCAAGTAGGTATTTAATTTCTAAGGAGAAAGTGTGCTCTGGTAATTGTTCTACAACCACAATTGAAAGGCAGTATCAAAGATTGCTGGGATATAATTTGACCAAATTGGCAATACTATTCTGCCCTGAAGAAATGAACTATTGATAGATGTTCTACCTTAGCTTGACTTTGTAAAAGAGGTGAAGCTCTTTGTGTATCGCATCTATCAAAACGTCAATAACACATTTCTCTCACAAGCATTGAATGTTTACCATGGTTGGAGTTTCTTTCTTTGACAAAATGACTATTAAAGACAAGAAACCCGACACATGGCAATGATAATAAATATCCTCCCGTTGTCTGTTAAACTGTGGCATCAGTAAGTGTAACAACTGTTTCACATCATGAAATATTCATCTGTGCACATGAGGCTTAATGGTTATTGCTTGTTTGTAAAAACTGATAACACCAGGCCAAATTAATACTTACTTATTAAGTACGACAAGCAGTGGCTGTTTTGTTGGCTCAAGGGAATTCATTTTTAAAATGGTGACATTTTATTGATCCCTGCAGGGATATGTTCTCCATGCCCTCTCTAGGGAGATCAGAGCTGATAGAGGCTGAGTGTTACTTCTGTAACAGCTAGCCTGCCTCTACTATTATGGAATATTCTAGAGATGTACAGTCACACCGATATTCAGTGTATTCAGTGAGAATCAGTGAGGTTTATTCACACTTTATTGATTTTGTTGTTTTGTTCTTATTGTAAGTGCACCCTTTCTGGTACATAATGTACATAAGGTATCATTTATCTGTAAATACCTTTTTATGTAAACAGATTTTCAAATTCCGCCCCTCAACTGAAAATACTTATTAAATCTATTTTCCTTCTAGCTGTCAAAAGGTTTTACATACTTCTAACATCAAATAATTAAAGTCTTCAAAATTGTGACACCACAAGAAGTCACATGAAGAAATCTGATTTCTTCATTGTATACCCCAAAATAAAAGTGTTTTTAACAAATAAATATCAGGAAAACCTTATCTTTGTTTCAATAGGATCTTTTTCATAATATCTCAAGACATTGAGGTTGACTGAGAAGCCACATTAAGACACCTACACCTCACCTAAATGAGTCGGATTAACAGACAGTAATCTCCTTTATTGGAAGATGTATATTTAATCAGTATTTTTTCAGTTTGATTTGAAAAACAAGATAAGGGGTAAAAAAGCAAATACTACTGATAGAAGCACTAGGAAACTGTGAAACTCCGGAATGCAGGAATTGAACGAGAACTTCAGTCACGCTGTTTTTACGGGATGTGATGGATTACGTGCAATTACAGAGTTAAAAAAAAAAAGAACAAGAAAATATGTGTTTTCTAAACTAGCTGAAATGCTTTGATAACAGGAAAGACAAAAGGATCAAGCATGGTCAGTACATATTACAAATGAATGGTGTTGTAATACATTATAACTGAATGTTTGATGATTTTTGATGAAGTAAGGGTTTGAAATGAATGGTTCTGTGGCATGAATAAATCCTTTCAGTTTTTAATTGACACAGGATGTGCCCAGTATTTCACTAATGCAGGGAAATGTCTTTCTGCCATACCTTGTAACTAGAATTTGTCAAAGCACTTTTGTATGCTTCAATCACCTGTGAACCTGCCATTCATTTCACTTTTATAAAATGTTCAGTTTTCCAATGCTTGTGTGGATCTCACCAAATAACTTCAATTTAAAAATTGTTCTTCTTTCAGAAGTGCAAACAAAAATGTAATTATGTATTTTTGCCTACATGGTTTTGTGCAAAGGTTTTCACGTACTGTATTCAAGGACTTGATTGCTTTTAGGGACTAACAGTTTATTTTGTACAGTTGTACAGCTCTAGTTGCCCTGCCAGGATTCAAAAGAAAGGAACACATTCTTTATCACTTTTCATTTGTAGTTAAAATGAGTGAAATTAGAAAAACTGAACTTGTGTATGAATTCATATTGTCTCTGTGAGATTAAACAATAGATGAGGAAATCTAAAGGCGAAAACAGAGCGATTGGAAATGCATGTACTCTAGGCTTTATTCAAGCAGTGCCTTGCTGCTGACCTATCACTCAAGCACCTTGTTGGCTGCCGAAGTAGAAGCAGTACGCGCTCTGTCAGAGGAGATCTGTCAGGCTTGACTGATGACACAGATGAAATGAGAGACTTTGTAATTTGGACCCGCTGGTGCAATCTGTCATAGAGGTTCAATTTATTACCACACAACCAGGCGGGACGAATTTGTGACCCTGCTGGTGAAATTTCACTGACATATACAAGAGTCCATTGGATTAAATCCAATTATTGGCTAGGTTGGATCACAGTAGTTGTTTTTATGATTCTGTTTACTTCTTGCAGTCATTGCATGTCATTATGTACAGTATGAACTTTATTTTACTATGAACTAAATGACTCGGTGCTGTTCTAAAAAATATATTATTTTCTGCTGCAACTCAGTTAAACTTAGTTTTACCATTTTTAGTTCTGGCCCCTGTTTTTTCTTGCCTCTGTTTAAGGTAGAATTTATTTTAATATTGATATATCTGCAGATAATTTTGTGGATTATTTAATTCACTGAAAAGTTAACAAAAATTTCAAAATAATATGAAAAGATATGTCCATCCCAAGCTCAGACACAGATACAGAGAAGATACATTTGTATCATTAAAAAAAGAGCAACAATTATTCATTACTATCAAAAAGAATTGCTGATTTTCTTTTAGATCCATAGAATAATACTTCAGTCAAATAATGTTGCAGCTCTCCTTAAAAATGCATGTACCCACACTTACCCTATTAAAAGGATCACCTTACAGCAAATGCACATTATACAGCGTACAGTCTGACAATTCTCAGATAATAGCACAGTTATAAAGCATATCATGTTCCTATTTCATTTGTATGTATTTCTATCTGCTGAAGCAATATTTCTGACATAACTAAGGCTAATACAGCATAAGTATGTGAACTCAAAATGAGACTTCCTCTCATAAACTGATCCTGCAACTCAGTGCCGAGAAATCAAATCGTAACTCTTCTCTCTGAGCTTCTCCTTGCGTCACGCCAAAGCACAGAGAGCCAATTAAATTTCACTGAGATAAACTCCAGGCTAAAGTGGAAATGCTTTAGGACACTGGACGTGCTCATTTAGAATAGATTTGTATGCACTGTGAATATATATATATATATAATTCCATATATAAAATGACAGCCACCCAAGATTTTTTCAACCCGACACTGGTGAACTTTTAATTGGCCTAATATGTATACATTTTTTACCCACAGAGTTACTGTTTTGGATAATGGCAGCCTACGGATTTCCAATGTTACAAAAATAGATGCTGGGATCTACACGTGTGTGGCCAGAAACCAGTTTGGAGTAGCGAGCAGTGCTGGCAGCCTTTTGGTGAAAGGTGATGTATTATTTTCCCTGACTTGGCTTTAAACATCAGTCCTGTTTGTTTAACTGTGAACGACTGCTGGATTTTGCTTGTAAATTGTTTATTTTGTACCCAATAGCTGTTTCCTTGGCAACAACAGCTCTTCCACTACACATGGAGAAAATAATACAGCAATATTCTCAATTTATTAAAAAAAGATCACAAGCTATACAATAAAATCAACACCAAACTTGGAAAGATTAAACCTAAACGTGTGCTCTTTGTCATTTAAGAATGGGGTTTGGTTGTTACTGTTTGTGTTAAAACATTTAATGTGTTTAAACATCAGGACTCCTGCAGGTTTTTGTGATCAATCTCTAAAAACAAACTTAACACGTCTTTTACAGCTGTCAGTATTTTGGCGGAACACGGAATAAATGTGGCACGCTGCACAAGAGCTGCAAGACACGACTGACCGTGCTGCACTTAAAATTAAACCCACTGACCCTCACTGCGCACTTGATGAACAAACAGTGGAGCACAGTTCTAAAGACTCACCTGACAGATACACAGTACAATTAATTGATGGCTGGAGGAAGCGAGACATGAGGCTCATTGCATTCATGCGCCTCTATGTTTAATTCATACTTTCTTTGCTCGGTGTTTCATAGCCATGCTTGGTTTGTTTAAGATTTCAATCCATTCAAATCACACACTTCTGCAGTGCAATGAATTTTCCAGGTCTTTCTAAAGAGCAGAGTCAACAACAGTGCTCTATTAAAACGCCTTTCGGTGATTCCTCTTCACTGGTTTTTTGAATTGTAAATTGGCTTGCATTGAAGGCCAATTTCGCTCCCCTGCTTCCCCGCACAGCCTATTTACAAGAGCCAATGCTGTAATAGAGTGTACTGTATAAACATAATGTGTATGTATTCGTGAGAGGTATAAAATAAACTTGTATTGATATTCCAGTACTCTATATAAGTACAAATTCAAAGAACAAAGCACTTTACAGAAAAAGGTTTAAAAAAGACATAGTGACTTCCTGCAAAATGTATAATTCTGAGATTAACCTAGCCTCCATGTGTTACCTAATTCTTACCCTTGAGGCTACTGTATGAATTGACAATGCTAAGGGTACTAATACTGATGTTGTCCATTCTTTTTCAATCATTTGATTAATTGTTTGGTCTATTAAATGTTATCACAAATTCCCAGAGCCCAAGGTAATGTTCTCTTTGTATTTAGTTTTATACAAATCCAAGACACAAATATATTTAAAACGATAATGATAATAAAACTGAAAAACGTTCTAGCATATTATTAAATAGAAATGAATCATCAACCAAATTATTACATGTATTTAAACAGAGTTGTTGGCCAAAACATTTCATGTCATTCAAAGATTTCATGTCATTCAAAGATTAATACGTTAATAGCTTTTTTACAATTTATTTTTAATTAAATGTTTGATTGTTGTACCCTGTCTTCAGGGTTCTGAGAACAGCTCTCCTTGTTATCCTCTGGCCTAATTAATTGCAGTTATTGTATTACACCTGGTGTCTGAGGTGCAAATGATTCCTGCATAGCTGTCCTTCTGTAGGTTCACAGAACGAAAGCCGCCCTGTGCGGTTGGAGCAAACCGACGGGAACGAGGGAGCCAATTTGTGATTTACATAACAGGAAATGAGCGTGACAGCTTAGCAATTGGAAGCAGAAAGTTCCACCCTCTTATTTTGAACCCCGGTGCCAAACTTTCCATAAACTCACCTGAAATGCACAGCCATGGCCAGTCGCTTCTCCTTAGGCGGTGTGAGAAAAACAATGTGCCTTGTTTTGACAGAGCTGAATATAGACCTTTACTCCCTCTGACACGCTGCATTGGCTTGCCTGTCCATTAGTTGCTTATGACATGCATGCATAATTCACAGTGGTCTGTTGTGTGGGATCTCGGCCTAAGCTATATTCTGTGCATCACACCGCTGTTGAATGAGACACCCAGCCGAGACGCACCACAGATTATGTTGATGCACATCACGCTGAGGAGGAAATAGGATGGCTTTTTGTCTCGGCACAAACAGAGCAAAATGATATACTCGGATCTGACCTGCCGTAATAGTTGAGTTTTTCCTTTTGTTTGTTTATTTTACCCTGTCGTTGCTCAGTGATATATTTTAGACCCTACTTTGATTTATGAAACTCAAAGGAAGCAATGCAATATAAGCTCACTGGCAGACTCAAAAGTAATTTATCTTGTTTGTTTAACATCGGGGACAGGATTTGGCAGAGGGCAGGGTTTGTTTTTGAGTGTGACATGTTTTTGCAATTATTTCTCAATGTTCAGGGAACAGAAAAAAAAGGTAACTTTAAATTCAGCACAGTCTGGATAAGTTATACCTGCTCTGTTAACATGCCCCACCTTTCTGACTCGGTGCTCCCTGTTCACAGAGCCGACGGCGATCACCAGTCCAGCAGGACATCTGGACGTGACCGTGGGTGAGAGCATCGTGCTGCCCTGCCAGGTGTCACATGACCCCACGCTGGACCTCAAGTTCACCTGGTTCTTCAACGAGCAGCTCATCCACTTTGGAAGTCACTGGGCGTTTTTTGAGAAAATCGGTGGGGTAAGTGCAACAGTCTTCTATGTCTCTGTGTCGCTCAGCATTAAGACATGAAGAAAATATGAAATGTTGCAGCCTAGACGTTTTTGAGTAGATTTGTTTAAATTACATTTGATGTCTTCAATGTACTAGAACATATTTAAAGTAACAGCTTTTTGTGTTGGCCAAGTAACATTTCTAAGGATAAAAACTTTTCACAATGAATTTCCACTTGAATATGCTGATTATTTTGACTGTAAAGATTCTCTTAACGCAAAGCCATATCTGAATTGTTACACTCTTTGTAATGTTCAAAATGGGCTTATATACTTAACCACTTTCTACTATACATATATAACATTTGACATATACAATCGCTTTAAGTAACTCATAAGGAAAGGAGCTATTTGAACTCAATTATTACAATCGTTAAAACATGTACGTCTCATTCCTCTACAGCTTAATATCAGCTTTATCTTTTGATGGGCAAAGTATTGAACACTGCATGATGAATTTTACAGATTTGATTTTTTTTGTTTGAGTGATCATAAGGGCTACAGGTTTGCCTGTTCTGCTTGTTAATAACACCTCCTCCATTGACAAAAGCAACAACCGAGGAATTCATTATGCAATGCTCAGCCAAGCATTTCATTTGATCATCTAACACCAGATCATTTTTCTCCTTTAATTAGGGAAAGCAGTTATGAGGTCTTGGCCTCCTTATCACCTCTTGTTGTGTTTTTTTTTCTTCTTTTGTAACCGGCACTATAACAACAAGCGCTTTATAATCGTGTGTAGCCCTGCAGTTCATTTAAACACTTGACTCCTCCGCACCAAACCCGGCGGCACGTTGTGGTGGAGAAACCATTGACCTATTGATGGAGAATGGTCACATTACTTAAACTTTCCTCATCTGTTTGGAAACGTTGTGAGCAAAACAACAACTTTCATATTTTTCTTTTGAAGCAGACAATGAAATGCTGTTCTTTGTCAATGTAGCCTGCTGTAGACTCAAGGAGAATAAGGCTTGTTAAATTCAACAGCAGTGAGTCATTGGCATTAAGGCATTATTAATGTAGCGGTGGTGAGTTCTAACTGACCTAAATGTATAAGCCCTAGTGTTTGATTTGACAATATGCTTTTTGATTTAACACAAAGTAGACTGATATGTTTTAAGTAGCTACATGAGTCAAACATTAATATCTTAAGCTACAAGCTAAATCAAGCTACAAGTTCCTTGATCACTGCATTATGGCTCTGCATTACACAATTATATGTTATGTCGAAATTAACTATTGAAGTTATGACGCAGAGGAGTGTTGTTAAAAACCCTGCAGCAAATTTTTTCTTGGTAGAGAATATTATTTATCCTGCATATGTTGAACAATATAAAAACTGTATGCCTCCAGCAACATGTACACCAACCTCACTGTTGACTACAAACTCCTCTCTTGTTTGATTTAAGACCTTTAAGACCTTTGCTGCTTCATTAGAGATAGCTCTTTGCACCAGTCACACTATTGAAAGGGCTGTGATTGTTAAAATTGTTGGTCTAGTATTGTATATCTGAAATAAACGTCCAACAGCAATTTAAGGTCATTTTAAGAACAACAGAATAGAACAAATACAAAAAAAGTGTTCCTAACAATATTAGATGTTGTATATTTTGGTCTGACATTACATTAATTGAGATCAAGGGCAGAAAAAAGGCTGACTGAAGGAATGCTTTGGCAAACCCCAGCGAAACGCGGTCAGCATTTTCAGAAGAGTTGAGGGGGAAAAAAAGACATCTTTGTATTTTGCTCAGTTTTTCTCATAGAAACCCAACACCACATAAATCATGACATGTCAGCCTTCACATAAAGCAATTGCACTGCTCTGCTGATACAGACCTGACCTGCAATGGACAGAAAAATAATTTAAATTTGTATACCTCTGCGCTGGCTTTCCAAACAACATTTCACTTCTAAATGTGACACTCAAGTTACCCCTTGAACTCAAACTGCTTAGAAATTAGGGGACAAAGGTCAAGATCAGTGTGACTTAACACCAATGTCTAACAGGATAAAATAATTAAATTGTGACATTTTTGACAACATGGATGTAACCGGCAACTTGACTGATTGACGAAGGCATTCAAACCTGACGTGGGTAATTTTAGTTTATTCTAAGTCTAAAAGCCACACTATATATGATTACTGTATTTTGCAGGTAGTTAAGTCTGGATTTAATAAGCATGCTTTGAAGTTATTTTTTAAGATTCAGACATCTGTGACCCATCCCATCTCAATTTATTGAAGGCAGAGAGTTTCAAAGAGTGAATGACTCGCAGCTACTGAGTTTTTATCTCAAGAAAATGCCCCTGATTATACATCAAAGTAATTATCGGGACTCATACTGTTTCACAGACCCTTACTTTCGTAGATAAGTTAATCAACTTAACATTAGTTCTAACTTTAAAGTTCAAAGCTAATAATGCATTTGGCATTGAATGGTCGTCTGTAGATTAAATGGAATCAGAGGGGATAAAAGGATACAGCTGAAGGAAGCTTTTCAATTCCCCACAAAAAAACTGTCCTCATAAATGATTATGAAAACTCGAGTCAATTGCTTCGTCCCTGTGAGTGTGTGTTGTACCTTTTTCCCTGAACTGAATGTCAAAAGAAATTAAATTATATTGCACTTTTTTCCCCCCTAACTTTCCTACACCAACAGCGCTCGGCTGGTGACATAATGATACGCAACATTCAATTGAGGCATGCTGGGAAATACACGTGTGCTGTTCAAACGAAGGTGGACAGTGTGTCGATTGCCACTGATGTGGTCGTCAGAGGTAAGGATGACCCTCACATTTCATGTTAAAATAAAAAGTCATATTGGTGTTCTCTAAGAAGTTATATCACAATGTTTTCACACACAATGCCAGCTACATTTAGCAAGGTCATTTCCACTTCAAACTCTCTGCTAGCCAAGAATGTCACTCTTGTTCATTGTAAATGAAACACATGCGCCATGGCTGACTGCTCTGCAGGGGCAAAACAAATTAACCTCCCAATTACTACTCTTTTGTAAATGACAAAATGAGTGAAAGATTGAAAATGCAGTTTCTTTGTGATTTAAAATAATAGCATAATATGACTTGCTAATGTATGGCACGTCTATAGATTTAGCATATTGGAGGTACAGTTTATGGCCGAGCTATGCTCCATAATGCAGATGCACATTGATATTTTACCTCTACCTTTTAGTCTCTAGAAAAGAGTAAAAGGTCTAGTCATCCCAATTAAAAAAAAATTAAAAAAAGACATAACATTTATTGCAATAGAAAATATACTCAGGTATTTTTTTCTTCTCTATGCTGTTAATCGTCTATTGACTCCTCTGATTTGCCTTGAACACAGCTACACAGGGAAACACTGCTGGAGGGCATGTTATGATCTTTTTTATTTCCTAGATTGTAGAACAATAAAATCTATTCAGAAGAAATAACATTGTATTGTTGTATCTCTCTTAAATTGACTTATTCTTGTATGCCACCAGTGTACTAAACAGTGAGTTTGGTTTTAGTTAAAGTGCACTCGCAGCTGTGCTAATGCTTTCTTTTTAATCAGTCTGTGACATCTCGTCTAATTATGGCTCTCCCACTCTGTATCCCTGCTCTTCTGCCTCTTGTCTTCATTAATCTGTACAATACATATCATCCTGAGTGAGTGAACTGTGATTAATTCCTTCCAGGTCCCCCCAGTCCCCCCGTGGACTGTCAGGTGACTGCGATGACGCAGACCACTGCCTCCGTGTCCTGGGGTCCCGGGATGGACAACCACAGCCCCATCCTCAGCTACACCATCCAGGCCAGAACGCCCTTCTCTCTTGGGTGGCAAGCCGTAACAACCGGTAGGCTTTTGTCAATCTGTCTGAGTGTAGGTTGTGTGTAGTGATTAGATTTGAAAAAAGAGTGAGGGGTAGTGTGACTGGTATCCTTTTCAAACACCACACATGAAATGACAGTAAATAACACATCACAAGCTTGGCTAATGTTGATAGGCGGATCTTCCATGGTTTTGATGAAAGGTTGTTCTGTGATGTCTCTCAGTTCCTGAGCTTCTCGGGGGGAAGCAGCTGTCATCCACCGTCAATGAGTTGAGTCCCTGGGTGGAGTACGAGTTCAGAGTCCTGGCAACCAACAGCATAGGAACAGGAGAGCCCAGCAAACCCTCCAAAAAGTCCCGTACCAAAGAAATGCGTACGTATGAGAAGCTCCCTACTTTTCCTGCCATCATTGACTCAGATTGCTTGACACAATGGACACGTCCATTGTGTCCTTAGAGTTTCTACTTCAGGAGTGCAATTAAATCCCTTTAAATAACTTTATTGTAGCAGCGAATGTCGGAGAATTCTTTGCTTCCTTAGGACACACAACACATGAATGAATTAAATTCACAATAAATATGTTAATGCCCGGCAGTTTCACTCAGAAACTCAGTGTGTGTGAAGAGAGGAAAAAAAGTCTGCTTAAGGGCAGTGCTTAGAAAAAATACAATAATAGATACATTATGAGGCAACTCACAACACATCTTAGGAATGTCAAAGGACTGTATTAAAAAGATACTTTTATCTGAGAATTGTACAATTAAATTAACCACCACAAATGTGTTCATTAGAAAATCTAAATATACAATTTTCATTCATAACTTCAGGTATACACAGACACATTTATACGGACAAACATAAAAAGTTAAAAACATATCTTTTCTCATGGTGACTGAAAGACTATATGCATGGCAGTACTTTATGGTTTTATAATGTGTTTGGATTTTAAGTTGTTGTATTCAAAGCAAATTTCACAGATTTTACTCAAAGTCTGTTTTGGAGTACTACTGAATATGTGAACAACATTGTGCTAAGCTTTTTGTTGGTTCAGTAGACACCTCTTCCTTAATTGCAGCAGGAGATGTCACTTGACAGTGACAGCTTGTACTGATGTTTAAACGGTGAAAATATTTGGGTGGTGGGGTTCCAACAAAGTGTGCTTAGCAGGCCTCTGTAGCCTGCTCCTCATCTCTGCTTGAGGCTAGCAGCTAAATTAACCACTAGTAGCATACCAAAGCTGAATCACTAACCAAACTGTCTGCAGTTGAGTTGCACTGGGGGCAATCTAATGTGCCAGGTTTTGACAAGGAAGAAAAATCCATCATTTTTCTTAAACAATATCTTTGGCGACTTTAAGTGGACATGTTCAGTACCTTATTCTTGCAATTTATAAATAAACAACTAAATACTGAAAATGCATATCGCAGATACTTGAATATACAAACTTGTTCTTCTAACACTGTGTTTGCTTTGTTAGTTCCCCGGGTGACACCTGGCAGAGTGAACGGAGGAGGTGGAGGACGCTCAGAGCTGGTCATCACTTGGGAGGTAAACTTGTATTCAAACACAAAACATTTTAATTAATTAATAAAAATGCACTTGAGTCATCTGCTCCACTGCCCCACATTTTTCTAATGCATTTTAATATAAAAACAAACCAGTTTCAAATGCACTAAATGAAAAATATGATATAAAGCTGTTTAAATTAATATTGATATCAAACACAACATGTGTATGTGGTTGTTAATTTATGTTTAAGTAAAACTGAAAGACATCATATGATTATGTTTTTCCCAGAGTGTATGAATAGCCCTATAACCTCTGCTCTGAAAGAGACAGAGTAATACATTTGTGCAAGGCTTGCAAGTCCAGTACCACCCTCAGCACAATTCCTCTAAGTGCCCTAATCTGTGCATAGCTGCATTTCTTTAAGGTATTAATATCTTTAAGATCAGCCATCTTGAGTCATCACTCTGACTCATGCCTCTTTAGCCCGTTCCTGAGGAGCTCCAGAGTGGGCCGGGCTTCGGCTACGTGGTGGCTTTCCGCCCACTGGGGGCTCAGGGCTGGATGCAGGCTGCTGTCACGTCCCCCGACGCCTCGAGATACGTCTTCAAGAACGACAGCATCCCCCCCTTCTCCCCTTACCAAGTCAAAGTCGGGGTTTACAACAACAAGGGAGAAGGACCTTTTAGTCTGGTGACCACCATCTACTCGGCGGAGGAAGGTGTGAACTAATAATACTATTCAGTAACGCATGGCTTAACTTAACAATGGGAATACACTTATACTATGCCAGTGATTACAGAACAGAAGCCTCATACACTTTTAAGTGAATCATAACCAAATAGGTCTATTTCCTGAACTTTAACTTAAATTATTGCACATCAAGTCACCAATATGTGAGTTTTCAGGGTCTGTAATGTATTCTTTCCAGGACCCACTCCTCCTCACATAGTCATTTGGAAGGATTTAATGGAGCTCCAGTATTTTCGTAAAGACTTTTCTGTGGACGTGGGTGTAAGGAATCCATGTCTTTCTCCTCATCCTGAACATCCTCTGTTCCTTTCAGAGCCCAGCAGAGCTCCAGGCAGGCTGAGGGCGAGGAGTGTATCAGCGTCCGAGGTAGAGGTCACCTGGAGGCCGCTGGCCTGGAGCAACAACCGAAGACGCATCCTGGGCTATGAGGTCAAACCAACACATGCCCACACAATAATGTACAATGCAGTGGACAGTACCAACAGCTAGTGGCATTATATATTGGATCAGAATGCGAGGACCTTTTTTCCATTAGTGTCTAAATTATTAGTCATTCATGAAGTAAACTACAGTATATGAGCATGATGAAGCCCTCCAGGTTACGTGTCCACATCAGTGCAAATAAAGCTGAATATTTGAAGTAAAAAATCATATGCCAGCTGTTAATCTGTGTGCTTTTCGTGTGTTTTTAGTTGCAGTACTGGGGTGAGAGGCAGAAGCAGGACACAGCCAGTGTGATCAGGACAGTGGGGAATAAAACGTCAGTACTTATCAGAGATCTGGAGGGCAGCAGTACATATTACATGTCCCTGCGGGCCTACAACAGCGCCGGAGTGGGTCCACAGAGCATCATAGTCAATGTCACAACCAAGAAACCACGTAAGGACTCTGAACATAGTGGAAGGCCTGACTGTGTCTTTTTATGCTTTTTCTGTGGATGGAGAATTTGTATCCCCTCTGGCTAAAGCTTCATGGTTTATTTTGTGTATGTTTCATTTCAGGAATGATGTTTTACCAATTAAATTCAAATAGGGAATATTGACTACACAAAAGCACCTTAAAGGGACCATGTGTAGGGTTTTGGTTTATCCACTCATTTAGTAGACATGGCAAATACTAGTTTGCAGTTTGACATGCAGGCCACAATTGAAAATGATGAGACGTTTCCCAATGAGATATTATCTATAAGCATTAGTTAAATACATCTGTCGCTTGTGCTTACATACAGTATAAGGTCCAAATCAAACAGGCACATTATCAAAAGAATGCTCCATGGAGGAAATTTAAAACACTTCACAGGGTCCTGACAGATGTGTAGCACCTTATGGTCATATAGGCCTATAATGTAAATTATTATCACAATTTTAATGTATGTATTACACGTTGTTTTTATCTTCGGTCTCCCCTACCTTCCCCCTTGAAAACACTCGTACACTCACTTCCACACACACATTCCTCTGCTCACTCCTAACAGTGGGATGATAAACTGATAATGAGCTTTCTCCTTCATGCTGAGTTGGTTCTGGACTTTACTGTTTATTGACCAGGTGGCTTGTTGTTGTTTTTCACCCCCCTCCTCCTCCCCTCGTCCTCCTCCAGCACCCAGTCAAGCCCCTCTCAAAATCATGTGGAACACTTCCAACTCCAAGGTCATCCTGAGGTGGGACCAAGTGCACGCTCTGGAGAATGAGTCTGAAGTCACCGGATATAAGGTAAGAAGTGGAAAGTTTACACTTCTCCATTAGAGAGCACCTCAACTCGACTTGCTGAATCGATAGTTACGTCTGTAACTACGGTTCTATGAGTCCTGGATGACCGCCAGAGGCGGTGCTTTAGCACTGGATATGTCCATCGCACTCATGCGCAGCTCGAGTACCAATAACAACAAAGTCACCTGTGACCCACTTGACACCTGCAATATCTGCCGGTGTTGTCAGAGGATCTGTTCCCAGAATCTTCTCGCGAGCACACAAGAATTCTAAGTGACAGAATACTCTGTCGGTCATCCGGGACTCATAGAACCGTAGTTACAGACGTAACTATCGTTCGATTTCGTCCATACTGACCGCCAGAGGCGGTGCTTTAGCACTGGATGACTTATACCAATCATGTCATGAAGAATCCAAGCCCTTGCTCACTATTGGAAGCAGCGGAGCTCGGCAAAAGGACCACGCCCAAAGGATGGGGAGTGGCGACATTAACCCGATAAAAACCTGGAGAATGGGCCAGATGCGGCGCAGATGGTCTCCAGGGACACCCCTCTCAGGGCAGCCCAAGATGTTGAGATGCTCCTTGTAGAGTGGCATCTCAGCCCTGATGGCAGGGGGCGGCCACTGGCCCCATAGGCATATGTGACCTGCTCTATTGAAATCAATCGCATTGACCCAAAGACACATTTTGAGTTGTATAAACTGCTGGAAAGAGGATATTCCTAGCTTTCTAATGATATCAGGATTGTTTTTGTACTCCAAATATTAAGCGAAATATGTCACATTTTGAGAAAAAGGCCTTCAAAGTTTTCTCTTCTCTGGAATCCATCGATCTGATTGATTATTAGCGGAGCAAATGATCAAAATACTACGGAGGGAAGATATTTTCGTTTGGATTACTGGTCTGGGGGAAGCTTGCGAGTGTGTGTATACGTGTGTGTGTGTTTGTGTCTTTTTGCGTTTGTGTGTATTGCGTTTGTTTCCCGGGGAAAGCCCTCACGAGAAACACCGGCTGTTGTTATGCCTGCTGTGACGTTAAGTTACTCCGTTCTCCGCTTGTAATTATGCCGTTACAAGCTTCAAAGTTGTATTTATCATCTGAATTTGCCGAAACAAGTTTAATATTCTGAAAGCCAAGACTTTGTTTAATTGAAATCAGATGAAAACAAACTGTAACGGACCCTCCCGTGTTATTTATGATTACTCTACGCTTACATTCATAATGTCAGCCGGAGG